AATGAGGTGAACCGTAATGAGAGTAGCCATTCAAAGTATTTAACTGAAATTAAGAGTTGAGTGTAAAGAAGGGGAATGCGATACGAGGCTATGATACGATAAAACGAATAAGAGTGCTTCGTGGTTGGAATGCAATGTCGACATCTCTTTCATTCCTCACGTGGAAATTCCTTCATCGGTAATGCATCCGCCTGACGTTTCATATCGGTTCGTGGGAATCTGAATGAACAAAACAACTGAATCGTTGATTCATTTGAGGTTAGTTCATTGTATCAACTTCATCTCTCATACATCATGATCACACTGAATTTTGTTCAACTGACGGACACACTGATATACTTATGACATTCATCACCCTCCATCATCTTTCACTCAATTCGAACCAAAACAATAATAACAACAACAAACCCGGAATACACGGAATTGATGGGCGCATTTGCTGGCAGGACACGTGGGAGATCGGTCATCTGAAATGATCAAATAAATTGATAAAAATCATCACCATCAATTCAATCAATCAATCGTATCAAGCATCAACGCTCTTACCGTGATCGGGTCGTTGTGTCCATTCAGAAGAGGCTCCAGATCGCGACTACTGTGCACGCCTGCAAATGGGTGATCAATTAAATCTTAGCAGATGCTTTGCACCTCAAAACATAACTGTAACTGAACGAACGTTTCGGTGTCGAACTGAACGCATTGATGGGTTGTCGATTGAGATTTGGGTTGTTCATCACCTTTGACTTCGATGTTTTTGCAACAATGAAGTCGTCGAACAATTTCATCGCGATATCACGTGCCGTCATCGCGCCTGCATGTGTACTCAAGAAGCGCAGCAGTTGAACACCATCCACACACAACGCACCACGCGTGAACTCTTTCAATAACGCCCGTTCTTCTTCTGAATTATCGCTTTATCACCATCCTCCAATCAGTCAATCATCAGTACGAGAATGAACCCACCAGATGGCGATGGCAAGAAAAGATTTGCGCTCGGATGTTGTTGCAATTGCTGAATGCGATTTGTGCTCGCACCACTCGGGAAACGACGTCTGAAATTTCGTATTGGATGCAACAACAAATCAAACACAAAACAATAACGGCAGCA